AAGATCTCGAGCACAGGACGGTGACCATTAACAAACTCACTGATGCCCTCAGGTATGTTTTATGGTGTAGTCAGATCCTTCAAAGTCTTATTTGTTGTAATACATTTGTACTGAACAAAATGGATCTTTTTGTTTTAAACAAAGATCTTTGTCAATGAATAGATTTTCCATTGTTGTAGGGGGAATAGAGGATGAGTTATATCTCAATTTTATGCCTTGTTTTATGTGATTTTTTCTCTCATATGTTCATGCGAGTAAATAAGTTTTCAGTACAAAACTTTAAAATATCTTAGATATAAACAGAAAGATCAGTAAGAATATTGCAGTTGTTATAATTTTTAATTGAGATGTTAAATGATGATTCTGTAGAGAATTAGAGGTGGAGAAGAAGAACATGAATGAAGAAATCAATATGTTGGAGCAGCAACTTCAGGACGAACAGGAGAGCAACGACGAGAAGGTCAAGAGGATGTCTAAACTAGAGAAGGACATCAGAGATCTCAGGGTGCAGCTAGAGCAGAAAATAGAGATAGGTTAGTGAACTTTACAGCAAATACAGGAAATTTGTGAGCTTTACAGCATTTAGAGATCTGTTTGTTATATATATAATATATATTGCTGGCATTATTGATAATAGAGTTTGGTCATTGAATCCTACAAAAAAAATTGAGATAAGAAAATGAAGTTAACACAGATTAGATTAATGTATTGTAACATCTGTAAAAAATATAGAGAATGCAGAAGGAAAGCTTTAGATTAATACTGTATTTGTAAATGTGAAGAAATGTGTGATAGGAATTGAGATGATCACAAGGGTATATATTATTAAACATAATACATGTTCGTGTTCATGTAGATTAAGATTAAAACTGCATGTAGGATATTAAGATAAACACAATTCAAATCTACATGTATTAATATTTGCATACAAGAAAGCAAAGTATTATGCCTCAGTCAGTAAAATCAGAGATACCTGTATTTGAAACAATGCAAAAGAAAGCTCAATAGATAAAATTATGCACTTTTATATAATGTATTATGTGATTGCATTTTAGTGAATGATTATGAAGATCAGATTCAAAAGAAAACAGAGGACATGGATCAGCAAACACAGTTGGTCAGTGACCTTGACAGTGAGGTTAAAAGGTTACAGGTATGTTTGTGTTTAATTACTACTCTGTAGTAAATTTTGCAATCATTTGTGGAAACTGTTGTACAGAATTCATCCCCAATTTAGGTCAGTATAATACTTGTATAATATTTATACGTTTCTTAGTGGGTCTATGTTTATTTTGTGTGTGAAAAAGGGAGTCTCAAACTTATTTAAACTGACATTTGACACTATTTCTAGCCACTAGGTAAACAAGATTGATGAATGTTTATGCCAATCTACAGGAATGCACATACCTGGATAATGAATTGAATTCACTGCCATTAAAATGAAATTAAAATCACTTTATTAGGTAGCTCAGAAACAAGCTATAGAGCAGAGTGAAGATACAGAGAAGAAACTTCAGAGGGTGATTCAGGAGGACCGAGCTAAGGAGGAGATGATTGAGGACATGAAGGATACTCTCAGGTAGGGACAAATTACAGAGGTCTGTAGGTATCCCTCCTTCTGATGAACCTTCAACAGGAGTGTCAGCTTGAGCAAGATGATGTACAACGGAATAGAATTATTTAATCCAGATGATGTGTATTAATTATGACAAATAATTTAAGCCCCTTTCTGACAGTAAATTTGTTTGTTTAAAGTATTGTCTAATTTGGAATGTTGTCTAATCTGAAAAATTTCCATGGAACCAGTGTTCTTGTATTTTGATGAAGGTTGTGAGAGAACTGTAGCTTGGGAATCTACACATGTAATTTTCAATCTTTATCTGATTTTAAATTTGCATGCATCTAAATCTGTTCATTTACATATACATTTACAACCAGTATGGGCAATGCGGTTTTGTTATTTCCCGTGTATTGCAGCAGTGTGAATTTCATCGGCAAGGTAATAAGGTAGCACCGCTGTATATTTAGATGATTACTTTCTCTACCAGAAGCTTGTTTAACCTCCTACATGTGTGGCAAAAAAAAATTTTGTGGGAGTAACACATATACACTGAGATTATGCTGGGAGGTAACATTTTCCAGAGGTGTAATTAAAGCCTCTTCTAATCAGATTTACTTTAATAAGCATTTTTCTGAAGTTTCATCCTTTATAAGACTTGCCTTTCTAAGATGAAATTCATCAAGCGACATTAGACTATACAATAACTCTTTTTTTTTTTCAAATACACAGGAAAACTCAGGAGGAGTTGAATGAAAAGAGACATGAGGCATTCAAACTTTCAGAAGCTCTAGAAGACAGACAGAGGGAACTTCATCAAAGAACATCTCAGGTAACAAAAAAGTGGCATAGGATGTTAAATAACTCTTAATTATTAATTAATGAATTTTGATGGAGATTGAAATGTTTCTCTTATGCATGTTTAATTTTGAATGAATAGCCTATGTGAGGAAGAAGAAATTGGAGACCAGTCGGATTAAAATCAAACCTTCACTAGCTCCTTTTTATTTTGATTGTCGCGCGACAATCAAAATAAAAAGGAGCTAGTAAAGGTTTGATTTTAATCAGACTGATCGGAAACAAACTCACAAAATATACAAGCTACATGTATATAATTTAGATGATTTTAATCAATATATCAAATTGTTTTCAAAAGGTGAATGAACTTAGCATGACTGTTAAGGAACAGCACACAGAGATGAAACAGAGAATTATTACTTTGGAAAGTTCACTGAAGAAATATGAACTGGAAATTCAGGAAAGAACAAAACAGGTGGGTTGTTGTAGTTACACACACATACTTAGGGATGTAGATATACAGGTATATATAAAGCCCTTAGAAAAGAAGGATGTGTATATTGATTACAGGTTCTTGTACTTATACAGTTGTATGCAATCTTTGTGTGTTTGGTACTAAAATTGTCATTTTTTGCCTTTACCTTTATTAATTAAAACAAAATAGCATTAATTAAAGTAGAGTTCCTTTTTTCTGTTGTGCACTAGAAATCAGCAATAGATAAATTTCATGTGATTCAATCAACATGTATACAATAAAATCATCCCATTAAAATACATATAAACAGTCAATAGTCAAAACTGATTAGGAAACACTGTGTGTACATTGTAATCTGATTGAAGGATGACCTGGTTTCTAAGTTGGAAGATGATCTTGACAGTGTCAAAACTGCTATTATCCTGGTGACTATCTTATCATTAATATTGATGCCAGTTTTTCTTATTTTTGAATTTTTCGGATTCACAGTTTGAAATTTGATTTTCAGTTTTCATTGAAAATTTTTTCATATTTTCATAAATGTACATACAAGTATACTCAGGTACTTATGGGTAAAGATAGGTCAATCACCAAATATTCTATTCTGATACTAATGAGATACATGTATACTGAGTTAAGTGAATAAAATTTGTACTGTCATATAAGGGAAAAATTAATGAACCACAAAATTTCATTACAATTATTTATCCATGATAAAAAGATATTTCAGATTGTATCACATAAAAAAAATTAACTAGATTAAACTAAAATTGAATTCATAGTTTGCTAAAACCTTTACTCACCAATGTTTGAAGATGTTCTCTTGACGTACTGCTTTCCTGTGTTAAAATTTTATGACATTTATTTTAAATCCTTCAGATAGCAGAGCTGGATGACAAACTACAGGAGACTCAGGCCAAACTGGCTGAGATGACCCTCCAATATCAGCATGCTGACCAGCTGTGTAAGAAACAAAACCTGGAGCTCCAGTCAAAGACTGCCAAACTACAGGAGCTTGAAAAGGTGAGAATTGTATGATGACTCAAGAATTACAATTAAACTATCGTGGTACATGTATCTCAAACATAGATATCTTAAATATCATGGATATAGTAAAGTGAGTTGGAAGTCCCAACAACTTTTTATTTTCTGTTGTTATTGCTATCTGCTGAACAAATTTTTACTAATTTTTGTGTAAAGCATTAATGGATAAGGGGAATATAGATTGTAAAATTCATGAAGTTTGTCTCCCAGCAGCCTGAGGAATGGGGCCAAATTAATTATGATTATTATTAAGCCCTGAATTAAAATTAAAAAGTTCATTCCCCCCCCCCCCCCCCCCCCCCCCCCCCCGTTGTTCACACCCAAAGGCAGGTTTAGTTGGTCATATTTTGAACGAAAATTACATGTACATTGTAATACAATCTTCTTCATTACTCATTCACCTGAAGAAGGCGAATTGTTTGCATGATTGTAATGAATAGTTAGCTCTTTATAAAATAGTAAGGCATGGTTTCTGTGTCAGATCAGGAACCAGGCCCCAGGTTTGGGATAAGATGGTCATTTTGAAAGTTAATATAGATTACCTTATCTTCTTTACTCCTTAACTTCTAGGAGACAAGCTGCATAATATGATATCAATGATAAAAGAATCCTCACCAATCTGATTTTTTTTTTTTGGCAAACTTCAGACCTATTTTTACAATATAATACAGAATACTAAGATCATTGAAATTGTGTGAAAAATGCTCATATATTGTTCTTAATTCATACGTAATTTAAGTTGATACTTGGAACTTGAGTGTTTTGATTTTCTAGGCAGTTGACAGACAACACATGAAACTGGAGGAACAGAAGGATGAAAATGTAGAAGTCACTCAAGAGCTGAGACTCACAAGGTAATGTTATCTGAATTTGTTTTTTTAAATAATGGCTTGAGCATTCAAGATGCAAGTTTTCCAAAGGAAGACTTTGTCCTTGTCAGCCTTAAAACTTACAAGTAAAATGCTATGAAATGTTTTGGTCAAGATATTTTTGTTTGCTAAGCTTATTAACTATCTTTGTCTCAACAATTTCAATTTTTGCCATCAATATTTATTCTTTTAAAATTTTATTGCAGAAGAAGGACATGGTGCTATATATACATGTCTTAACGGAATTATCTCAATATGCCATTTGTGTCTTATTTTCAAATATGAGGGAAAGTATAAAAATTTTATTTTACATTCAATATTTGACAGAGAGCAGTTGCAGCAGCAGCATACAGAGTTTATGTCAACGAGACGTCAGCTGGCTCAAGTCAACCGTGAAAATGAACGTCTCACCAGAGAGATGGAGGAGGTTAATATAGTCAGACAGGTAAACTCCAGATTGGGTGTGTTCATGATGTAGTTTATGCAGGTAGCTTCTTGAAATAGATTTTTACCACTGAAAATTGTTATAAAATTGTAATTGATTCTACTGTTGAATATTTTGAGCACTTTCTTTTGAAATGATAGACTGTGTATTGTATGAGGTTTAACTTAGTTAACTGATAGTATTGCATTGTATGATAAAAATATTAGTTATACATAAAGAACTGCCAAAACTTACAAGCGTGAGGCTTACACTTTGAGACTCTAAAATGCACCTTATGATTTATTTTTTTATCCTTATGTTTTCAGAATTCCTTTTCTCTCCATAAAAAGTTGGAAATACCAGTGTAATAGCTGTCAGCCATGCTTGTATTATCATTGTCCATTTCTATGTTAATTAGCAATCTAGATCATATTAAAATAAACAAAATTTTAAAAACTGTCTGGCGACTGGAGGCCTAGGCGGCCCATGAACCCCATCCTTACGATTTCACATTTTATGATGTTGGCAGCTCTATACTCGTAGGCTTTATTATTAAAATAATGACTGCATTAGTGAACATAATTATTTTCTTTACTGGTACATTCATGAAATAATATTCTTTGTTATATAGACAAGAGAGACTGACACAGCTCGCCTGGAGGAGGAACTCGGGGCCACAAAAGCTCGCGAGATACAGGCCGAGACTAAATTGAATGCTGAGATTCGACTCAGGAATGAAGAGATGGAAAGGGTTAGAGAAGAGCATCAAGTTTTGGTAAGGGAAAATAGATCACTTACATTAAATTTTACTTTATTTGTTAGAATTTATTTGTAACAAGCGTTCACAAGGATATTTACAATGTACATTGAAGTAAAATCTTTTTTTTATGCTAATGAGAAAGGCCAGAGGTGGGGAAAGGGGGTTGTTGCCTATTTGTCAGCAGAAATTTTGGCCACAATTATCAAACTACAATAGATAATGCCATTTTATTCAACATTTTTAAGGTCAAGGCTGTCATCGGCTTCAAAGTCAATATACTGTAAATGTAATTTTAAAATCAGTTTTCCACTGCTGAGAGAATATCATTTCACATACACAGTCACATTGATTTTTGTCAAGAAAGACAGTCCAGAACTATGGAAATGTGTATGTTCTTTCAATGTATGGAATCTTTGAACTACATGTGAAAGAGCAAAGTAGGTTTGATAATCCTATAACAATAAAATTGAGCCATACGTTTACAAGCCTGCTTTTTTTCTGTGTGTTAGGTGGATGAACTACAGCGCTCCATCAGTCACCTGAGTGAAGACAAGGAGAAAATGGAGAGAGAATTGGAAAAGAAAATGATTCAAATAAAGGAACTGGAGATCCATTATCAGGCTCAGTTTGACATTCTCCAGAAAGAACTCGAGAACATACAGGGAGAGATGATAGCTAAGAAGGAGCTGGCCACTGTGGCTAATGAATCTCTGATTCTGAAGGTAGGTTTTACATAGGATTCAGAGGTGTTCATTGTATCATAAGCAACCTTTTGATTTAAACAGGTTTTGCTGTGGGAATAAGCATATCTGAATCAGTGTTATTATTTTGTAGAAGCAGTATATATATATTTTATATCATCTACATGTACTGTATGTCTGAGTTTTTGTAAAAATGAGATTGTGTGATTGTTTGTTAACTGAACAGTTTATTCTTTATACATTTCAGGACTCTGAAATAGCCAGGCTAAGGACTAAAATCTCAGGACTAGAAAGAACAATAGCTTCTTTGAACATGTCCAATAATTTTGATTCTGTGTATCAGAGTTCAGTGATTGGTGCAGAAGTTGTTAAACGTCGACACGGGTCAGAAAATGCAAGTGAGGTGGATTCTCAAGAATCTCGCAGTGCTCCTGTCTCCCCTGCTGCCAGGAGGAAAATTTTAAAGGAGCCATATTCCACAGCAGGAAAACTGCATGGTGAATTTCACGAACCTGAAGACGAAACTTCCCTCTATATGCTGCCAGTGCCAAAAGATAGCAAGACTGCCGAATCAAAACGAAATCAACAGGTGCATTTTAAAGATGGAGACATTGATGAATTTGATGAAGTGTTAAATGAAGAGGAAGATAAGTGGAGAAAATCAAATCTTGTGAAGAACAGTGCTGTGTGTAAGGGTCCATTGAGGAGTAAAGGTGTGCCCCGTGCTAGTGATAAAATGAACTCCAAAGACTTCCGTAATTTAGCTGCCCAGAGAGGTAGAGGAAGAAAATCGGATCATTTGCCGGGAGAATTTGAAATAGGTAGGGTATGAAGTTTACACTAAAATTGATTTTTGAATTACTGGATTGTATAAAACAAAAACAATATCTGATAATTACAGTTGAATTTCGTTATCTTGAACATGGATATCTTGAATACCATGGATATGTCAAAGTCATTTTGAGGTCCCAACTGCTTATTCCTGATGTATTTTACCCTGGATATCTTGAATCCTTGGTTATCTCAAAGTATTTTCTTAGTTCCTTCGAGTTCGAGATGACGAGGTTTGACTGTACATGTATCTGCATATGATGAAAATTGAATATTATTACTGTAATATAAGGATGTGTTTTCAATATATTAATTGAAATTATGAAATACATACAGTATAGAGAATATGTAAATGAATGAATAATGAAATGATTGATTGCAATGTGTTTGAGGATTTTGAATAAATATTAATTCAATTCTGTCATACATGTAAATACTGTTACATATTGGATTACTTACAGAGCCAATGACAGCTGTTAGGATGTACAAGAGTCCACAGTACTCAGATCAGGGTAGGATTGACACAGATCCTGCACAAGGGTAAGCAACTCAAGTTCAAGTCATGAAAAGTTCAGAAAAATTAGATTCACAGGTTAAATCACTGGTTCAAGTGAGAACTTGGATAAACTGTGGTGTTTACAATAGCATTTAGGGAATGCAATAAAACGGTTACAGTGAACATGCTTCCAATGAATTCTTGGTTACAGTAAAGTGATTTTCAATCCCTTTAGATTTAAATAAAAAATATCATGAATTTATCAGATAAAACTTATTATGTTTCAAGTGAATCAAAATTGTCGTCTCTAGCACTTTGCTTTATTGTATTATCAAAATTGACAGTAAAGCTTGATATTGGAACACTAGTGTCGGAGAATAAGTACCATCAAGTCAATATTGCTCTATGTTTATTGTACACTGAAGTGTTTTATTCCTGTTTTCAGGATCTATGAACTTCAGGAGAGATTAAGAGCTAACGAACTGAGACAACAGCTGATTGATCAACAATTAAAAAACATTGATGAAGGTGCTATTTGTTCCTAGTAAAGACTAGATCCTAGATAACTCTTATTACCAAAGATATTTTATCATGATTACAAGATGCCTTCATGCATTTACTGTAGCTGCAATTTCGGCATTTGAGATTTGTTTTGGATTGAAGGTAATGGGCCAGGAATTTACAAAAATGTATTGAAATTTTATGCTGTATATCAAGTTATATTTGTGATAATACGTATACATGCAACTGATATAGAATATTTGTCTTGCTGTTATATGAATCTGTGATGCAACATTAAATGATGTCATACTTAGGTTGATCAACTTGTGAACATAGAAGAGTGAAAACACTTAGATCTGTAGTTTTGGTGCACATTTTTCATTTTGAGACATTGAGATCTGATGACCAATATTTTATTTTATTTATCTGTTAGTCTGTTTGTACATGTATGTACAATGACATAGTGTTCTATATTGTTGATATGTATGGATTTTTTGAAGAACAAAAATATAGATGATTTTACAACAATTTAATTGTGCTTCTGTGTAGATTTTTAACAACAACAATTTTTAGGCACATGAAAATATTTTTAGCCATGGATTGAAAAGGCACTTAAATTTCAAATGTTGTGGGGTTCTAGTGTTGGTTGTTTGAAATCAATCTCTCCAACTGTTAACAGTAGTATATTTACATTTCCAAATATTTTTCCTTAAGATTCTTTGCAAGTTTGAAAAAGTTCACGTTCTCATGAACTGCATTGGGATGAGTAGTAATATTTCCATTGTGACACAATTGAAGTAAAAAAAAAGTGCAAACTTTTTTTTAAATGGGAAAAATATGTGGCAAGTCATCAGAAAAATAATGTAAGTATAAGAAATGAATTTAATTTTTTGAGAATTCATGAGGTACATGAACTACAACGCTTAATTAAAAATCAAAGCAAAAAATGGGGGTCAATATGCTTCTTTTGGTGCTACAGACATTTATTATGACCTTTTTGCACTGAAATTTGTGTCTTTAATAATCAAAAATCACATCTTCGACGTTTTCCCTCCAATGTTTTTATCCAAATAAATCATGGAACAAAATAAACTATTAGTCTATTTAAAAAAGATATTTTAAAATTGTGACTAAGAAAAAGTTTCAAATTGCTTCGCATAATCAGTTTATTTGACCTTTCTGCACTCAGAAAATGTAATTTTTCTGGCATTAAAAATTTAACAAGCAAGAAAATTATTTTAAATTCTTAAACTTTTGCTGAATTTAGGCAGATTGATCAAAGTTACCTTAAATATTCAGAAAAGAAAAACAAAAGTTCGGGGTCTATGATGTAAATTTTCAGATATTACTTAAAAAGGTGTTAATTGTATGTTAAAATTGGCTAAATATTTTCCTGGACTTTCAGAATATATTTACTATATTTGTCACAATATAATGAAAAAATTCATAAGAAATAGATTGATAGATATTTCAGAACCAGCATAAAAACATTTCACTGCAAAAAAAAAAAAAAAAAACAGCTCGGTGTGCAACCAGCATGGAAAAATAGGAATCTAAACTTAACAGTACTGTATATATTTCAGAAGGGAAAAATTGATCATTTTCTCCTAAAAAAAACCTTCCGCCACAAAATATAGTTCCTTGCTTATTCCTATTTGAATGGAATTTAATTGCAGTTTTTTCATTGGATATAGTTTAATTTGCATTGTAGATTCCAATTTAATGTTTGAACAAAAAAATTATTCAGAATTTTATAAATAAAGGTCCAGACCAAAATCTGCTCAAACCTCCTTAATTGCACTTACTAAGTATCTATTAATTTGACAGTTTATCAGTGTTTATAGCCTTGATATTCCCAGTAGAGTCACACAGGGACAAGTAACATACTTTGCTTGATTTTACGCAGTCACTATATGTATGTACATTCCATTTTGTATACAAAACTCCATTTTGTATGTACATATAGTGATTACGTAAAATCAAGCAAAGTATGTTACTGGCCCCTTGTAGAGTCATATCTCTTAAAGAAGGATGCGTCCATATAGATATATTTATACAAGTACATGTGTTTTTATTTTTTATTTATAACGGCTTTCTTAATAATTAGTTAAATTCTACATGATACTTTAGACATGGTCAACAAATAGGTTTAGTAAGTTTACTCATTGACCTATATACTTGTATATAGGTTCCTGGTTTACTTTATTGAGGGAAGTATTTCTTAATGGGGCCTGGGCACATATGCATTGTTTACAATTTTTTAAAATGTCCATTTTTTTTTCAAAAAATAACTTCAGTTCAATGATTTGAACATACATTCTTCATAACCTGGTTTGGAAACAGAGCACGAGCTCTGTTATGGTTAGTGTTTACGTTTTACCGGGTGTTTTCAATTTCTTTAGTCTGCACACATCACTGAGCACGGACTGACAATACTGGTGAGTTGGTTTTGCTTCCTCACATTTCTACTCTGAACTTTCTGGATGAAAGTTTTCATATTTTTCATTAATACACAACAAAATTTCTACTTTTCTGAAGAATTACGGATAAAGTTTACTTTGTAAAAGTGCAAGGATATGTCTACCAAACGCGTCCCGAAATTCATATTTTTGAAAAATTTCCAGATAGAGGAAGTTTCTAAACACGCTTTTAATATATTTTGGTGTGAAATGCTCCTTTAGCATATAAGTCATGATATTAGAAAATTTTAGAAAATATGAGTTCCAAATCTGTGTCCCAGCCCTATTAAGATTTGTCGAACTAATCATGAAAACAATGTACCAGCCAGTTAACAATCTTCACACACAGGGTTTTGAGAATTGCAGTTTAAAAGCACATTAATCGGTGAAAATTTTGACTTTTGTAAAAATAAAATTCCTAGCTCGCGGGATCAGTGACATGTACTTAGTACTTTGAGAAATCATCAAAATGTGGCAAAATGATTTTACTATTCATATTTAAAAAAAATAATCACCCTTTCTTAAATAAAAACATCTAATAAAGACTAAAATATTCTTATTATGAAAGAAATAGCTGCTCTTTTCTGCCTTGACAGGTGTGAAGAGATCTACCGAGTATTAAGATACTCTTTTCTTCAGTAATACACACGAATTAAGAAGATTTAAGAAGAAAAATATTCATTTAAGTTAGGAAAGAGAAGAGAAAAGTAACAGACATGCCAGAAGAGTGTTTGTAAGTGTAAAGAAACCACTTTCTTTCCTTTTGGAACCAAATAAACTAGAAGTTGTTTAGTTTATTTTAATGTATTAAGAAAACAGAATTCATTTGTTTTCCTGAAGCACCAAGTAGATGTAATGAACTCAATGTTTTTGGACTTGCTTTAAGAAATGTCCCATATACTGAGTATTTGATAACTATCAAGTCTGTAGGAAGCAATTTTAGTTGGGGGCACAACCAACCATTCTCAGTTTTTTTTTGTTTTTGTTTTTTGTTGTTTTTTTTTTTTTGAGGGGGGGGGGGCACTTCCAAGCAAAAATTCCTTGACAAATAAAAAAAAAGTCAGACGCTTTCAAAGAGGGGACATAAGCATAAAGTAGCTATGTTTTCTATAGTATACTATATATATCGGCAAAATTATTGGGAGGGGACACGACCCCCTATGCCCCCTCCCCGGTTCCTACGGCCATGACTATATTTCATCATCTTAGACTTGTATTGTTGAAAAAAAAAATCACCTTTGACACTTTGTTCTTACGAATGTTCTACGATCCAAATCAATAGATAAATGACATACACATCCTTCTGCTTAAAAGCATAAGAAACGAAACCTTATATATATACCTTATATGGTGTTATATACAGGATACTTATTTCATTGTTATAGTTTGACTATTGTACTGTATTTTCAAGAATTCTTACAAGAAACGTTAAATAATTTAAAAAAAATTATAAAGCAGCATTGTTCATCAAGCATAAATCCTTGGCATAGTTTAATGATTTAAAGTTCACAAGATTTTCAAAGTTATTTTTAGCAGATGAAAATACCCAGGTAAAACGCTTTATTATTTTATTCCTACCATGGTAAATTCAATTTTTACCTAGGTACATCTGTATACGGAAAAAAATCATGGAAAAAATATCTTTTATTTTAAACGGATGTGAAAGTCTTTTCGAATATAAAGAATGTATTGACATACGAAGGGAGATTAATGATCTATGGTACGATTTATTATGCATGACAAAGCCATACAAACGAGTACCCATAGGGAGTCATGGTGATGGCATCGTCTTTAATGCTGGACAAAATGATGAAGCATTTCTTCTTGAAAACACAATAGTTTTGCAAAATGGCGAATCTAAGGTCACCGGGATTGTTAATTTTCTGGCAAAAGAAACCAACAGTTCTCCGGGATTTTGTCGCCTGCAGCTCCTTCCTGGATTAAACTTTCAGAATAATATATATACTGAAGAAAATGGTGTCAAATTCTTATCGAGTGAAAAATTTATCCACATGTGTCTTGAACTTTCAAGGAGAAATTCTAGTGCCGAGAGTCCATTTATTGTGACTAATGCTTTGAGACTTGATTACTGTTTACCATTTAAAACATGGCCAGACTGTGCAGAGGAATGGTTGTATCGAGAGAGACCACGGTGCTGGCCTTCAGCAGCTCTGGTATCGAAAATTAAGGATACAACTTGCTACTGTGAACCCATAGAAAATGGGCAATCATTACATCCAAACTTGGAATGGAGAATTTCATTTGCAGTAGCAGAGACTCTGTTGATTAGATCAATGGGTGACACGATTTTTAAATTGTATCAAATCTTAAAGATTCTTGCCAGAGAAAAGATCAATACAGAGATTGGGTGCCAAAATATAGTTTCGTCTTATGTGATCCGAACTACGCTTTACTGGGTTTGCGAAAACGGGCTTCCAAATATTATCAGCGAAAGTAATTTTGAATTTTGTCTGCTTTTCTTTATCAATCAACTTGAGAAATGGATTAAAGACGATTTCTGTCCACATTATTTTATTCCCGAAAGAAATATTTTCGAAGCTTCTGTTTCGCCTCATAGTAAGGCTTGCCTTTTGGAATGTTTAAGTGACATTAAAAGTGATATATTTTCAGCTGTTTTAGAATTACCGTCATTTGAAAGACTGAAATTGGCCCACGAAGAAGGAACTGTTATAACCTTGCCTTCTCTTGAGGACATTAAGTTATGGAAGGAAATTTCAGTATTCAATTACGCCTCAGGAATCTCTTACTGTGTCCTTCATAGCAGATATGCTTTTGAAATTTTGGAAAACATGGAAACAACGTTTGCTGCAAACTCGCAGAAATTCTCGGAAATGCAATTAGCTTTTCTGAAAGTTCTATATTATCCTCTTGCAAAAGCAACTGGTACCATTCTCTACAATAGCGTTGTTAAGATATCCCATAACAAATCTATGTACTGTGGACTTCGATTAAGCAAAAGACTTTCAATACTTGGCACCAAATGTGACGTCATTTCCGGACGTTTGTCACTAGCAACGTTCCATTATCTTTGTGGACAATATAAATTATGCATTGGTTTAACGGACTCCGTTTTGAGAGGAATTCAACCTTTCACTGTTTACAACAGAAAAGATTATGGTATAATACAGGGTGACGGTCGTTTGGAGGCTTATTCCGAAGTTATCCTTAACGCATCAATACCTCTCAACAAAAAAATGCAAAGAGCATTTTTGAATGACTTTGAGATCTTTAAAGAGGGACCTGTCATTCCATCACATTTATGTTTAGAAATTGAATTTTTCCTTGATCCGCCAGCATCATCTTTTCTTCCAGCATTAGTTTATATCCATTTCCTACGCTTTCTGTCATTCCACGAGATGAACAATGAAAGTGAAATGCGTTCCAGCCTTTTAGTCTTGCGGACTATATCCTATGACGATGAACATGGAGGAAATTTATATATCGCCTCCAACATGATCGGCATTTGTGAAATGATGAGTGGAAATATCCAAATGGCTATTAAATATTTTGGCCAGGCTGCATTAAGTTTAAAACGGGCCAATATTTTATACCACAAAAATACTGGTTTATTGAGAATTGCTCTCCTTCTGAACTCGAGAGTCAATATGTGACAGTAATAATTTGAAAGATGATAATAATAATAAAACATGTAGTAAAAACGGACGGCTGATTTTTAAATATGTAGTTTCAATTTTTTGCAACTGGATATAATTATGGAACTTGAAAAGCAATAAACTTTATTATTTCTGCGAAGATTTCTATAGAAAATGTTTCGATGATTTTTATGAAGTAAGGAATTATCAGATTATTAATTTGATAAATTAAAATCTTGCAGCCTTCCTTTGATCGCCATATGTAGGTTAGATGTTATCAAGCGATGTCAAAAATGCAGCAAATCTGGTGTCCGAGGGTTATTAGTGAGATATGTTTATTTTATTACCATTTCTTGTCATAATTTATCAATATTATTATGAGGCAAGCTTTCATTTTTATCGGTATTGGTTTATAAAATGTAAAACATTTTGTTCCATAAGAAACCAATATAATTGCCTTTCCAAAGTGATTTTTCAACAGTTGAAACTCTATGTAATGCAATGTATTGTTCTAAACACTTTTGGACAGTTGTGTTTATAATTCTATTTCTCTGAAAAAAAAAATATCCTTCAATTTTTAGCTCACCTGAGCTGAAAGCTCAAGTGAGCTTTTCTGATCACCAATTGTCCGTCGTCCGTCCGTCCGTCTGTAAACTTTTCACATTTTCATCTTCTTCTCAAGAACCACTGGGCCAATTTTAACCAAACTTGGTACAAAGCATCCTTTGGTAAAGGGGAGTTAAAATGAAGGGCCAAGCCTCCTTCAAAGGAGAGACAATCAAGAAAAGACAAAAATTGGGTGGGGTCATTAAAAAATCTTCTCGAGAACCACTGGGCCAGAAAAGCTGAAACTTATGTGAAAGCATCCTGGGGTAGCGTAGATTCTAAATTGTTCAAGTCATGACCCCCGAGGGGTAGGGCGGGGCCAAAATAGGGAATCCAAGTTTAACATTGAAATATGTAGTAAAAATCTTTAAAAATCTTCTTCTCAAGAACCACTGGGCCAGAAAAGCTGAAATTTATGTGGAAGCATCCTTGGGGTAGTGTAGATTCTAATCGTTCATATCATGACCCCTGGGGTTAGGGCAGGGCCACAATAAGTACTACAAGGAGGAAATCACGCGAAAAACAGCAAGGCCAAAGTTACTAAGGTGAGCGTTGTGGCCAATGGCTCTCTTGTTTTTAATGAATTTTCCTTTACTTTCAATTTCCTTGTTAATCGTCAATTCCCAGATACGTAAATCTTATTTTGTGGGATGGGGAGAGTGGTCTGGTTGACGCTTTTTTGGCCGTTTTCTATAAAATATAGATGATTCTTCATAACAACTTTCGAGGGGTCCGTGTTGTAGGGGGTTGGTGGGTTATACTTTACTATAAAAATTCAAAAACTCTGAAAATCAGAAGGGGGTTTTATGTACCCTGCCACCTGAATCTCATCCCTTCTCTCACTGGATCCGCCGGTAATCTAAATAATTCACTGTCAATCAATCAGTCTTTCATTTTATTAAGCTTTACAAGGGTCACAATATAGAAAAAATATGCCCATGTTTCAGTTGGAAGAGCCTAGGTATAGTCGCACGTGTTTCCACTTTCCAGTTATACCAACGTTCTAGTTAAGAGGACCACAATATATAGACCGACATAGCCACGTTTGTTTTTTAAGTACATGTATACTAGTTTATGAATAATTATTATTTTGTTTTACTATATATTTATATGTCTTTCAATGTGTGTTAAGATGCTGAATCATCAGCCTTATTTTCCCAGAAATTGTAAGAAACAACGGTGACTTAATAGCAAACGGGCTTTTCAGTTGCTGTTACGTGCAAAAAAGATACAACACATATACAATATCTTTATTTTTCATCATATATTCAAGGACCTCGATCATTGTGTTTCAAATATTGTTTTATATGCTTTAAAGGGAATTCCGGGATTAACCTGAGCAAAGCAGTATTTTGGTGATTTAGTGACGTATTAATTCAATTTTTTAGCTACATTTACACAAGAACGTATTTTCGTATCTACAAAAAATCTACAAAAGTTGTTAGTGATAAACAATTCATTGTTTCCTAAAAATACTATATTTAGTCTTTACAAGGAAGAAATTCAGAAATGGTAATTTTAACAGCACTGTCTTTCCAATCTAAAATACCGGAAATGCATGTAGAAGCGCGATATAATCTAGTACGTGTATTTGATGATGTTTAGAGCACAAGTAAATATCCCTGTATCGTATACATTTGGGAAAAATACTAAGAATGGATAAAGGATCTTTTATTCTCAATGGTTGTGAAAATCTATTTGAATGTAAAGAATGCAGAAGCATACGGATGGATATTAAAGATCTATGGTACGATTTATTGTGCATGTCAAAGCCGTATAGTCGAAAGCCTGTAGGGAGCCATGGCGATGGCATTGTCTTCAACGCGGGTTACACTGACGAAGCATTCCTCCTTGAAAACACAACAGTTTTGCAAAATGGAGAGAGTAACATTCCTGGAATTGTAAATTTCCTCCTAGACGAGAGTTCCAGCTCTTGGGGATTTTGTCGTCTGCAACCCCTTCCTGGATTAACGTTTAAGAATGATATATTTATTGAAGAGGGCGATGTCAAATATTTGTCGAGTAAAAGGTTTATAAACATGTGTCTTCGATTATCAAGAAAAAATTCTAAAATAGAGAGTTCTTTTATCAGGACAAATGGTCTTAGCTTAGCTTATGTTTTACCGTTTAAATCATGGCCTGAATGTGCCAAAGAATGGTTGAATCGGGAGAGACCACGCTGTTGGCCCTCTGCAACTCTGGTGTCGAAAATAAAGGATACAGCTTGCTACTGTGAACCCGTGGCTAATGGTCCATCACGACATCCCGATTTAGATTGGAGAATATCATTTGCAGTTGCAGAAACTCTGTTAATAAGATCACTGGACAGCGCAATTTTTAATTTTTACCAAATTCTTAAGATTCTCGCAAAAGAAAAGATTGTTCCGCAGTCAGGGTACCAAGATATAATTTCATCCTATGTGATCCGAACTACTCTGTATTGGATTTGCGAAAATGGGCTTCCAAACATCATCAGTGGTGGTAATTTCGAATTTTGCCTTTTAATCTTCATATACAAGCTTGAAAATTGTGTTAAAGACGATTTCTGTCCACACTATTTCGTTCCTGGAAGAAATGTTTTCGAAGCTAGTATTTCTCCTCGTAGTAAAGGTTGTCTTTTGGAATGTTTTGGTGATATCAAAGCAGACGTATTTTACTCTGTTCTAGAATTACCGTCACTCAAAACTTTAAAATTTGTTTATAAAACGGGTGGTATTGACATCTCCATGCCTTCATCCACGGAAGTGAAGTTAAATAAGGAAATTACAGCTCTCAGATTTGCATCAACAATATCGTATAATGTCCTTCAAAGTGGATATGCTTTCGAAATTTTGGAAAACATCGAAACTTATTTTGCAAATTGTTACGAATACTCACAAATTGAAAAATCTTTTTTGAAAATTCTTTTTTACCCTCTTGCAAAAGCGACAGGCACCATTCTCTATAACAACGTTGTGAAAACAGTGGACAATAAAACCATGTACTGTGGAATCCGATTATGTAAACAGCTTTCCTTATTAGGAACTAAAAGTGACGTCATTTCAGGACGTTTATCGCTAGCAACACTTCAGCATCTTTGCGGACAATATGAAAAATGCATTGAATTAACTGGTTCCGTCTTGGAAAGAATTGAACCCTTCTCCATTTACGATAGAAAAGGTTATGGGGTTTCACGAAATGTCGATCGTTTGAACGCTTACACAGAAATCATACTCAGCGCACCAATGCCAATTGAAAAGAAAATGCAAAGAGCATTTTTGAGTGACTTTGAGGTCTTTAAGGAGGCACCGGTTATTCCATCACATTTATATATAGAGAATGAATTTTTCTCTCATCCCCCAAAAGTTTCCTCTCTCCCAGCACTTGTTTACCTCCGTTTCCTACGATTTCTATCCTTTCATGAAATGAAGAATGAAAGTGAAAAACATTCCGCGCTTGAAGATTTGCGAGCGATATCATATGATGAAGAATACGCAGGGAATTCATATCTCGCCTTTAACATGGTTGGTATTTGTGAAAAGATATGTGGCAATATTCCAATGGCTTTTAGATACTTTTGTCAATCTGTGGTTATTTCAAAGCGGGCAAAAACTCGTTACGTGAGAATGCTGGTTTGATGAGAATTGCCCTTCTATTGAACTCAGTTGCGAGAGTCAAATGAATACAACGTATGTTTTTAGAGGCGATAATGTGAAGATTTAATAAAGATAAGTTACTATTATTGATAACTTGACAGCACATACGAGCGCCATTTAAATTATTTTATTATTTTTGTTCATTATTTTTTTTTTTATTATTATTTTTGCACAGAAAAAGGTATTTGACGATAAAAAAGTAAAACACATCATAGTAGAATCTTTACTAATAGTATCATGAAAATTATGTAAATTGATATCAAATTTTGGTGATAAGTAAAGAAATATTATGAAGGCACTGCACAGTTAGTTTAAAATCTGAGACGTCACTGTCATCATAAAATTTGCGCGCTCACATTTGCTCAAAATATTCCATTTATGTTAGATACACAGTTTATTTTGTCTATTCCATATATAATAAATATCCTTATACCATTTCAAACCAATGTTGGAATCAAGAAATCTAGTTACGCGTCTTAATTTTAGTTGTTTTTTTCTACTCTACCCTCTGAAGGTATTTCTGAAATTGTGTGAGGAAGTTCGTTCTTAATCACGTTCTTTACGACCAGGGTTAAGTTTTCGTCCTCCGTAAAGTCACTTTCTGAAATTTTTACAGTTGTTTTCATCAGGAACTTACTGGAGAAAAAATTGCAACATACCTTTTAGTGCTTGAAATACTACGTAAGAAATTTAAATCAGTAATGGCGTACATGTAACAATGAAAAGAACTGCAGAAAAAAATTGTCGAATTTTCTTGCGAATTACAGAAAATAAATGAGTAAGATTTTAGCATCCTTTTTCAAAATCTTAACAGAAATATTTATATAAAAATTTATGTAATATGAAAATATTTTACCAAATTTTAAAATTGTTGTGAATTCTTAACAAAATAATTCCATTGCTATTTGACGTCTGTAAGGGTATATGATAGCAATGACTGCATAAGTTTTGAACAGCCCTCGTACAATTGCACATACATAAATAAACAATAATGATATAAAGGCATATTTTAGATTTTAATGTACAATGCTTGAACAATTATTGGACAAAGAAAGAAACAATGCTTGAATTCTATCATATAACAAAGCTGACATTTTCTAACCAACCAGATGTTGTCCATGTCCATGATGATGAGCATTAGCAACCAGGGTCTAAAATGACATTTAATATTGAAATATGTACTTTTTATCATGTTGTAAAGTTTTAATTTACCTCCACCTAGTGAATTCAAAATGCACATTTCTGTATTTTTTCTTTATAAATTTTAATCCAGCATTCTGTTGTATGTCCATTATCTTTTGATTTGTTTTTAAGCAGAGATGCATCATTTAGGTATATAATGAAATGTATTTGTAAGCAATTCTAGTAGAGTGATAGAAACTGATAACTAAAGGTATACAGAAATAAAATCTATAGTTTTTTCCCACAACAAGCATATTAACGAACATTTTTACCAACCTGGTGCCAAAATGCGAAGAAATCGGACTTGCTTACGGTACCGTCACCTATGAAATTACAATACAGAGTGCTTTTTGTTTTAATTTTTAATACTTGAACAGCGTAAAGTAAAATTATATTTATCATGCAAAGCGAAAGAAAAAAAAAATATTTTGGATGTTTCCGTGAAATTTAAAGACGACGTATTTTTCGCAAAAAAAAAATGAAGATTGTAAATGTACATGTATTAGGCAAAATCTTATGAAAGATACTTTCAGCAGTTACACATGTAACTTGCAAAAACTTTGATTAAAATTTAAATAACAATGAATCCACCCCCCCCCCCCCGAACAAAAATAATATATTATTTGTTATTTTAATGAATTTTAACACAATATGCGAATAAAGAGAAAACTTCAAAACCAACAAAACATGAGAATCAAGATTGATGCACGCAATTTAAACTAGAAGTACTCTGAACACTGAGCTCACATAATGATGTCCCCGCTCCCGTATAAGAATAATGACAAAGTTCATTTTTGCTATGCATGTAAAACATCAAATATCTGTCCGATCAGAATATACAATAGGAGATGCAAAATTAATAATTCAGTAAAAGTTTCATTAAATTTTATTCAGCGTTGTAGGAGAAGTTGCGGATAAGAGATGGATACCCCCAATTAAGGTTATAGAAAGAATAGCGGTGTCCCTGTTTTGCTATGTGAAACCCCAAATATCTGTTTGATCGAAATCTAAAATAAGAGGTGCACAATGACACTATGTGATAAGGATTCTTTGAAAGTCTCATTAAGTTTTATTCAGTGGTATAAGAGAAGCTGCTGATAAGACAGGGGTACCCCTTAGTGTTACGGACGTACGGAAGGATGTACGGAGGAACGTACGGAAGGACGGACACCCCCATCACTATATACCTCCACTATTCAAGCAGGAGGGGGTATAATTAATCTATTCGGATTCTACAATTATCCTCTTGAATGATCTCTAATGCTTTTCTAATTAAAGACTCTGTATTTCTATCAGAAACCAAAAGATGTGATGGCATGTCTAAATCTATTCCGTCATCATATTGAACAATGCTCATACCATCTATATCCATTTTGGCGTAAAGGGCGTTTAGATCTTCAAGCCTCAGATGATGGTCACCGTTGGCATCGTAGATATCATAGAGCGCATGCGCATAATTTAGCAGATCCGGGGCTTGAGAACTGATGAAGGTTGTGTACTCGTGACGGCTTATTGACCCATCCTCTGTAATGTAACTTGTTATATGAGATTATTTGACCAATACAGGGGTTGTTGATCACTAGCCTAATTTCATATTAAAGCATCAGGTAATTTTTATTACAAAATTTTGTTGAAAATTCAATTTCTGTTAATATAACAAGTATTGAAATTTAATGTAATAGACTTTGTACCACGTACTGTTGGTGTCGTAGTGCGCAAATACGTCATGAAGTTCCACCATTGAGAACACGTCATTGTTGTCGTAGTTACCAGCCGCCCAGAGTTCTTGTATGTGGTGCTGATATTGTGCTTCCGTCAATTCACTATGCCCATGTCCATGATTCTGACTATAGGTAGACATCAAATGAACATTTAATAATTATTCACATTTTTTGAAAACAAAATCACATTTAAGGAGAGGAATCAGTAAGTTGTAAGAACTATTTTCCTTCCTTCCTTTTGATTTACTCATTAAAATATGTTCAAAACAATAACACAATCCATGAACAACCCATTTAATTATAAAAATGTGCAGTATCTAATGATCGGTGACATTACAAAGATGATGACTTCAATTTTATTTTAGGAAGTCTGAGATAAGATTGGATCATTACTGATAAGCTTGTACTTGACATACTTTACAAATAAAACGTTTCAATACTATTTAAGGCTACTCAATGTATCAGTCGAACTCTAAATTGACACTTTCTGACCACTATTTATGACAATAGTAGAATCTTAATTTAGTGCTTTATGTTAAACAAAAAATTTAATCTAATAGAGTATTACTATAATCACTTCTACCACCGCTGATGTTAGATTTCTGATATCCACATTGACTACTATTATTTGAAATGGGGTGAAAGAGAAAGTTCCATGGTCGTCTATACTATCAAAATAAACAAAATCCTTTTCTTGAACATCAAGTATTTTGCTGATGAGAAAAAAATAAATGTAGCATCCATTTGGTTGGTTGAAAAAGTTTACGTACCTGAAAACAGTAACTGTGGCGCTTGTCGCAAAAACAAACACTACGATGGAATACATGGTCATATGTGGTGTTTCTCATTGGAATCGTCATGAATCTTGATACGATAAAACTTGTGGAGATTTTGAAGACCTTGGTCAACTTAATTCCTATATCTGATCAACGCCATATGTTCAATGAAATTCTGAATGGAGTGTAAATCTAAGTATAATGCGCTTGAACAATCCACAGTGCATTAAATGAGTACAGTAATTAAATAATAAACGTTGATTTGGGAAATTTAAAAAAAAAAAATAAAAATAAAAATAAAAACAAAAACAAAAAAAACTAAAAGTCTAGAAGCAAATTTTTGGAAACTGTAGTAAAAATTCTCCTGTCAACATAATGTGGAGGTTTGGGGAAATCAGTATCTTGCAAGCATTTATTACCTTTTACTTAACAGAATATATACACTCTCTTTGACATACAGTGTATTTCTTAGAAATCTCCTTTTATCGTATTATTTTCACCGGGCATTGTAGCCTTGTTATAGGACGTTCGCTTCGTGATCGGGAGGTCCGGATTCGATTCTCGTTCACCGCACCGCGTAAAACCTAAATCGTAAACAAAGGTCGTGACTTTTCCAAGCGCCCGCATTAAAAGTGAAAGTCACGGGCTTTCGGATGAGACCTTAAAATAGAGGCCCCGTGTCACGGTAGGCGTTGGAACATTATAAAGAGCCATTTGCTCAATGGCCCTGAGTGCCGAGTAAAGGTCTAAATTTGAAGCCCTTCATCGGCATACGGTGACGTCTCTATATGAATGGAAATTCTTGAATGGGACGTAAAACGACATACAATCAATCAACTATCGCATTATTATGCCCCCGTATCGAAGATTCGGGAGTATATAGTTTTTGCCCTGTCTGTCCGTCTGTTTGTCTATTTGTCCGCAAAAACTTTAACCTTGCGCATAACTTTTAATAGGTTGGAGCTATGACTTTCATATTTCACATGTGTATTCCTTGTGACAAGACCTTTCTTGGGGTACCATCATTTTTTACCTTTTGACCTTGGAGTTTGACCCGATTTCGCAAAATTTTATGATCAAAAGTCAAAGTTGTTGGTATCCAAAAGAAAGGTCTTGAACAAGGATTACCGCAGTGAAATATGAAAGCCCTAGCACCAACTTTTCAAAAGTTATGGCCAAGGTTAAAGTTTTTCAAAAGTAGGTCAAACTCCAAGGTCAAGGTCAAAGGGTCAAAGTAGTGGGTATTTAAAGGAAGGTCTTGTCACAAGGAATACACATATGAAGTTTGAAAGCCCAAGCACCAACTGTTTAAAAGTTATGGCCAAGGTTAAAGTCTCAGTGGGTGCTTTCAAATTTCACAGGTATATTCCTCGAGACAAGACCTTTCTTTGGGTACCAACATTTTTGATCTCTCGACCTGGAGTTTGACTTGCATTTGAGAAACTTTAATCTTCGCCATAAGCTGCCATACGGAGGCATCAGTGTTTCATAAACACATCTTGTTTTAATTAAATATTGCAGCCAACCATAGCTTTGCTTTCTCTACCTTTTCATATTGATATACTGTACTGTCTTCCAGCCGCTGTTGAGAATTGACAACACCAATTTTAACCTTTCATAAATTTACTAGGCAATCATATCATTATAGTACAATACACCAAATGTTGGATGGAAATGGCCGGAAATTTTGTAGGAGTCAAGGGAGACAACTAGGATACCACAAACAAACGGGCAAACTAGTGGCCTCGCTTAGATGCGAGTGCCATGGAACCCCATGCCTGACACGCATGGTGGCTAGGCACACAAGCTGCACATTTTTTTTCACCCTGTCTCTGGCTTGCTACCTGGTTTAGAACTTTTACACCAACCAGCCCGTAGCCTCTCCTCCTTTTATAGAGGTAGAGGGTGTCAGAGCACTAAAATGCTGCAGACCCCAAGCAATTTACACTTATTCCACACATATCCTCAATGGCATTTAACTTCCATGTTAACACACAGCCATGAGACACCCCTCATGCTTTGATGCAGATGGGCAGAGACAAACAGGTTAAGCTTGTGCAGGGATGATTTCTCCCTTGACCCCGCCACTAACATGGATATGATGTTCTCCACTAAAATTTGCCCCAAACAATATTTGACAGTTTTAAGCCAATAACTGGTTCTCCCATTAAAATTTGCCTCAACAATATTTGTCAGTTTTAAGCCAATGACAGGGTGTCGCGACTGACCCCTAAGAACAAATTCATGCACACAACTGAGAAGGAAAAGTTTTGCCCTTTCCCCCTAAAATGAATTCCAAACCACCCTGGATATTATTTCAGTAAGCCTTATTTCCCCTTTCTGATAAATGAGATCCATCGTATCTAAATAAACTGCTTTAATGAACATTGCTATTTTTGTCATGGTCAATACAAGCCCCATTAACTTTCGAAGTAATAGATTTTCTAATAGCTTTTTAACCTTGCGTCTTTTTAAATCAATCTTAGCCCCAACTTTGCCTAGAGGTGCACCATGCCAGTAAAGACGGGGAAGCATTGCTGACCAAATGAGCAAGGTTTTTGGAAGCATTACATTATAACGATACAAACTACATTGAATTTCACGTGAAATTCTTAGTGCAGTATTGTAAGATGTTGAGATCATTTGACCCTGCATGGATAATCAATACATCTGGGTGCGGTTGATGCTTTAGTTCATCAGTTAACACTTAGTCAAGGTCTTCCCATTTCAGCCCTCTTATTCCCCTTCAAGTGATGTCAATCCCTAGATTGAGGTTCTTTCCACCTGGTCTCCCTGCCTCCTCACCAGCCCAATAAGGTATTTAAGATACCACTATCCAAGATGCCTTGAAACCTGGAATACTTTTGGCAAAATTAGCCTGTTTTCCATTTAAATATTCTATCACGTTATAATCTTAAGTAATTTTGAAAAGCTTTTGATTCCAACCTGCCCAAAGCTTTAATTTCTTAATCTGGAGCCCCTTGTTTGGCCAGATCTGTGGCTTTACCTATTCTAAAGCTAAGTGGTCCCTGAATGTCATTAAATTTAAGGTATGTCAGTCGTCAGCCTTTTAGAAAATTTCAGTCAGAACCTCTTACTTAAAAACTATTTATTACAATTCAATCTTTATAACATATTTAAATTAAACAATGTAAAATGTTCAACATTCAATTAAAAAACTGCTCAAAAATTCATAAAGAAGCAAGATTTATAAGGGACTATTTCTTGTGGTGGAAGGATATTTAGCAGAAAATTCTGCAAATGTACAGATTTATTAAATTTAATATCTTGGAACTTTAGCCTCACATACTTTTACTCAGAGAATATTTTCCGTTATGGTATGCCTGGAATATTAAATATAAGTCTCAATTTATATTTTTATAACAAAATTTACACCTTCGCTCAACAAACTTTGCCAAAAAATGAAGATATATTAAGGAAATCGAGATAAAATTTACACAGTTTTTTGCCAGAAAATCGCATATTTTGACCAATATTTCAAAATTTACATCACTGACCCCAACTTTTTCTTTCATTATTTTAAACTTCTTGATACTTTTGACCAATCAGCACTTAAGTCGTAAAAAGTTTGATACAAGAAAATATTCTATTGCCTATTTAGATTTTTAATACCCCAAATATGAGACTTTTTTAGTGCAAAAAGGTCACACAATTATTTACGCGCATTAATTTGCATGATTTGTTCGATGATAAATATTATTCAAACTATTTTACGTAAAATAAGATTATGTTTATTGTCATGGTTACATCTGATAAAATATGATAACGGTTAAAGTGATTAACCAAAGAGTTACAATTTAAGTGCAAAAAGGTCAACTTAATTGTACCGTAGCTCAGTTAGATGCACACTGACCCCCCATTTTCTCTTCGATTTTGAGTCATACTATATGAGTATTTATCCAAAATATACTTCTCAAAAAATCCTTGATATAACAAATTTCACGAGTGACATACCTTAAGTGCTTTCTGTAGCATGCAATTGAATTGGTATCTTGTTACACTTTTGTTATCCATATGTATGAAGAATAAAATGGAGCCACTGTTTGGACGCAGACGCAAAAACATCAGTACCCACATTACTGGACAAGTATAAGAATTTGGTTGTTTAGAAATATGCAATGTAGTTGATTTGCCAGTTTGGTCAGTTTTCGACCTGGGAATGAGTATGCTGACCTTGCTCGTAGTAAGCGAGATGTGCAACCTATGGATAGACAAAACCTCACTTGCCCTAAGCAGACCATGATATGCAATTGAAAAAAAAACTGTGGAAAATAAAATTGCCTCATAGGGTGATCTACAAACTGATGGCAATGCTGACACTAAACGTTGCAAAATCTATACATTGTATAGTTAATGGACTTCGCGGATCTACAGTGATGCCTCGCTTTTTGTGGAGACCCTGCAGGGCTTTTTTGACAATAAATGATTGAGTATTATCTTGGATGCCTCTTAATTAGTGTATATATGATAGAGCACTAATGTACAGTGCAGCTGTTCTGTAAGCTGTACCTACAATGGACAAGTGGGCAATAAAATTGAGCAAGTGGTCAATAGGGATAGGAAAACCAATTTAATCCCACAATTAGTCAAGAATTTCTTGAAATTGGTAAAGGCTCCTTGATAGGCTTTGTATGTGTTTGCTGATAGGGAACCCTGGATAATCCTGTTTGCCTCACTTCTTAAATGTTCCAAATATTCTTGGGAATTGGTGTTGGCTATGGATCTGCTGTAGGTGCTAGCCGTAGGAATTTGCCCCACTGTGAACGAGAGAGACAATCTGCAATAGAATTTAACTTGGCTGGTATGTGTCTTGCTTTAATTAAAGTATTATACGTGAGACATGTGAGGACCAGTTTACTTAAGATTTTCATGACCCTAGGCGAATTTGATGTTGATGTATTAATGACCTGTATGTACCACTGCCATATTGTCAATGTAAAACAAAATTCTGGAGTTGGAAAATTGATACTTTCACAATTCAAAAGCAACTTGGACTGGGAAAACCTCTAAAACAGTCACGTCTCGGGTT